TAGATGGTGGATTTCAATACTACTCGCTAAGTTCTCCAACCAGGTAACAGTTTGCAGGCAGCATTGACCAAACAGACTCAAGCACCTAACATCCTCCATACATAGCGATTAGATCTCTGACCAACGCAACAACGCTAACTGTTATTATTGAAGGAACGCCGCTGTTATGATTGCGTAACGCCTGATAAGATTGTCACAGGCACGGTTGGACCACGCCTACGGTAACGGCTTGTAACGTTGGACAATCGAACAGGATTTGCGCTGAGCTGATGGTGTGGTTTAGTCAGGGGTACACGCAGGTGAGACGGAAATTGAGCGAGCGTGAGAACGATCCTAGCCGCACGTATTCGGGTAGACGCTGGGCCCTCGGAAGGGACGCACACGAGAGGGGGTTACGGTAGACGCGCTAGTGACATAGACGCGAACACTGCCCGGCTAACGACGCACACAAAATCACGTGACCGACCGACTCCCACTGAGGCGAAGAGGAAAAAAGGCAAGTGGTCCTCTGAAAGCTCTTTTACGACCAAGAAAGGGCAAAGCACAGCCAATGCTATGGGTCATTAAGTTAGGGGAAATTGCTACCACGGCGAGATGGCAGTTTGTAAAAGAATATTGTTAAAAGGTGCGCAGTTGGGCCGCGTCTCGGAGTGGCTGAAGGCTGCTACGTTGTGGGGAGGAATTGGACCTCGCTTTCCATAGCCATTCTGCCGGGGTTTCTGGCGCATTTTTGCGGGAATATTTGACGGCACGCAACACTAACCCCATATCACTGTTTCTAAAAGCAAAAAGTCATTGAAAAGCTACTCGAGTCTTAATACTGTGTGCCATAGCCTGTTCGGTCGTCTAACAGCTAAACAGGTCAAAACAATACAAAGACTTCTTTAAATAATTCCTTGATATTCTGATCACCGCAAAGGATAATCAACGGCACACTATCTGCTTCATCCAGCAGGGTGGATATGAGGAAGGGTGCTGTAACGCCTCAACAGATAACTCCTATCTTCTACGTAAAATTTCGTTACTAATCTATTGCATAATGTTCGCTCCTGTTTTACTGCCCATCACCTTTCGTCTCTATCCCCTTCACACTCGTCCGTTCGGTGAGTTACTCTGCTGACGTTCGCTCCTGTATCGCTTCGGCCGTCCACATGTTCTTGTAGTCCCTGAAATAAATAGTTTGCTGTGTCCGAATTCTTTTACCTTCCGATATGTGCGCTCGATCACGCACACCGTCTCGCACTAGTATTTAACTAGTCTTATGATGCTACTGTTCACGATTTCCTGTGTTCTTATCTCCCGCTTGCACTGTTTCATCCCCATAGTCCTGTTCCAATTTTATTTTTAACCTTACTCCGTTGTTAACCCATACATTATCGACAGTCACCATCTTTCAACGATAGTAGCTTATCTCTTAGTTTTAGTCTACACAACCAGAGACCATCGCTTTTGTCCAAGCCGCAAGTCTAGTTTCAACCAAGCGGACAACGTCAATTCATCCGTTTCTATTTGGAGCCCTCGATGCTCGATAAGGCTGGCATTCCTCAATTGGCGTACTTTGTTGCAGGTTGGCGAACAGGTAGACAGCACTTTCCCGAACATTAGAGACTTTAACGATCAATATCTGCTGTTTATCGAAAACTAGCCTGCAAGACTCGAGCTCTGTGGTCATTCCACAATCCCGCTTAAGTGACAATGGCAATCCCTCATTACTGCGTCCATTCGGAGATGCTTCTAATGCTGGCCTAGCTGGTGTGAGCATTACTCTGAGATCCCGGACTGTAATTGCGCTGATCGATAGGATCCCAACCAACAGTCGGATGTATGCCGTCAGAATGACTGGCTCGTTAAAAGCCTCGAAGTCGCAGGAGACAAATGGTGCGGGTTTTTGATTGCGGTCTACGCCCCCACAACTGTGGCGCAGACTCGATAAAAAACACATCTACAACCAACTGAATGTGCTCCTTCGCCACAGCAGAAATACGTACACTGTGGTACTGGCTAGTGATCTGAACTCACAAATTGGAACACTGTCCAATGGTGAGCTACATCTGGGCAGGCAACCCGGCGCAGGCTTCAGTGCGATAACGGTGGGGAGACAACGTCAATGGCACTAGCGTTGTAAGTTCCTTTTCAGCTACGCCCACCTAGTTTCCTCCACTAATCATGATGGCATGCTCAGTGTGAGGTATGATATTATTATATCACTTGCTTTCAGTTTTTCTTTTGCACCCTATAATGGTTAGTATTTAGTACTTTCATATATATCTTATTGTTTGTATTGTAACACATCCACTGAGGTGTCTTCTGCAACTTTATCTAACGCATACTGAGGACGATAGATGAAAGGATCAACAAAGTTGAACTTCTTTTCTATGATTATGTGGACTGGGGGGGGGGGTTGGCCCAGTCCTTTGACAGTCCTTGAAGGCGTAAAGCACATGTCAAATCGAACAGAGTTATGCGACTCAAAGAGAAAGATATCGTCCGCACATTCCAGACCTCTCAGTCAGTGGAAGGAAACAGGAGTCGTTCATGATCATTTCGGTCACAGAGTTGAAGGGAGATGGAGGAATACGGCAGTCATACCACACTTCACTTGTCATGGCAAACTCAGGGGAGCGTGTTCAGTCCCTTACTCATTTTGCTCTACATCAATGACATCATCACATCTGTAAAACATGGTATGCCAGTTTTATTTGCTGATGATATCAAAATAGTCTATAAGTTTCGGGGTGACGAGCTGCACCGGACATTACAGCTCATTTAAGATGATTTACATTCTCTTGAGTCATGGTGCTGCACATGGGTGATGAATCTCTCGGCTAAGAAATCAAGCATCATGTCTTACGGCTGCTGCACCCCCGAAAAATCTATCACCCTAAACAATGTACGCGTCCCTACACAGTTGTCCAAGCGTGGTCTTGGAATTAGGTACTCGTCTACCCTCAATTTCTCCGAACAGGTCCCATACCAAGTAGCACGTGGCAGACAGTCTAGGTTCAATATATCAAACAAAATACACACAACTCGTGCTAGAGTTAAGCTTTCCAAGCTACTCACTCGCCCCATCCTCGAACATTGCAGCTTAATATACGGAAATATGGGAAAGAGTGACAGAATTGCTGTGGAGAACCTGCAGAGGTCATTTAGTAAATATCTGCTTGGTAAAAACTCTGCTATGAGTTATCGAAAACATTGTAATGAACTTCATCTCGAACCACTGGATTCGACGACTGAAGCACAACTTGCTGCTGATTTTCAACATGTTACACAAAAAGGCCTATTCCAACTTGTCTACACTCAATTTACAATGTTGCTCAACTCGAGCGCTTCGCAATAAAGATTTTACATTGAATGTACTGAAGGCTAGAACGAACGTCCGCTCTAATTTCTTCGTGGTCAGATACAACTATCTGTGGAATAAACTACCAATATCACTCAGGTCATGTGACAATGTAGCAACATTTAGAAGCAGACTTGCCAATTACCTTGATCTAACTACCCTAAGCTCTATATTCACATGGGAAAAATCCCTCAATGAGCTATTCCAAGAGGGGCCCAAAAACATCTCAACACTAATGTTTTCATAACTAGGCTTTGGCCTCAACCATTCGGCAGAATGTTAATACATGAAACGCATGGCCCAATACTCCACCTATGCATGGCACCCATGCAAGAGCATGGATTCTTCTATACAGATTGATCTGTGCCGCTATAGACGAAGTTTATCTCATCAAGATAAATATACGTATTATTATTATTGTTGCCCTGTGAACTGTGGTATAGCGATGACAGAATAAGGCGAAATTTCTGCAGTGTATCCTACAAGGAAGGACACGGGGCCAAAAGCGTGCTATCGATAGAACAGAAGAGAGCCACGGTTTACAATCGTTCTTTGAACAGTGCTTACAGCTTTGACTAAATGGTGTTGAGGAGATCAACCAGAGCAGTCACTAGTGGGTAGCCACCGTAATTCAGTAGTGGTATTGGTAGATCGCCAGGGTCAGGCAACCTGTTGAGCTTTAGCTCGCGCCGGATTTCGTAGATGGTGAGACTTGCAAGGTCAGCGCCCGACCAGATGTAGGCAATGGTTTGAAGAGTTAAGTGGTTTCCTAACGATTTCTATATGCCGTATCCCTATCTATGATCATGGTAACCGAGTTAGATAAGCAGTAACGGGATGAAGTACTGCTGCGATAAAGCTCCGATGTTGGAGCAAGGGAAACGTGGAGGCCAGACCTTCGGGTTCAATTTGGAGTCCATTTCCGACGTAGAGTTTGATGGACGGTAACTCACAGCGATTAGACGCGTATCTTTGTTCCGCAACCATAGCAGGCAGCAAAGCGAATCTGGAACACGAATTTCTGGGTGATCAGTAATTTCATATCGGAGGTTAGGTTTGTGCTACAGAACCAAACCATCACTGCTTCCATTTCTATCGTTCTGAAGCAGCGACATATCAGGTAAATTGATCTCGGAATCAGCTATCTCATGACATAAGCAGGTCTCGGTAATAATAATTAGAACTCGCGGTTTTGACGCCTGGCGTTCTCTAAGTTCGACTACCTTACTACGAAGGCATTGGGTGTTGGTATACTAGCAAGATAGTTTTTTGGATGTTAGCAGTGTGTTGGTGGATGTCAAATTCTTGTTTAGTTTTAAGCCGACCATTCGGTGATCGGCCGCTAATTGTTTTTTGCGTGTGTCGTTGGTTCTAGAATTTCGATCAGGCTGCATGGTAGCACACAGCGATCCAGCTCGCGATGTTCTCTCGTGCGTTTTTTTCCGTCCCGTCAGGAGTCGCGAATGCTATTGTGTCTATCACTCTGCAAGACTGTGAAGGGAAAGGTTTTACTGAGATTGCATGCTCCAACGTAAGGTCAGTATAAAACCGAGGACCGGGTCAAAAGCAACGAACAGTGTAACATGGAATTAAGTGTGCTACAAGAAAAGCACCGCCAAACAACATTCGCACAACTATGCGTGTAGAGACTCACGCGAAATTAGTATCGAAGTAGTCTTTTTCTAGCCGCGAGCGGGAGGTCGGAGGCGACCATAGCTCGACGGGATTCGTGGTCACGGTGAACATGGACAAACCGGCGGCTAGGACGATGGATATTGAGAGGGAGATCAATAGAGTGATGTACGGATGACGGGCGACTAGTCGTCCAAGCCAGGTGAACATCTGTGCGAAAGAGAGGTGAATTGAGATTAAGCAGAGCTGTGAGACGCATAATGAAAAGAAACGAGATTAGCAAAGTGATGCAGAATCCTACCTGACACAGCAGATCTTCGAGTTTTGCCTGCAAACGCACTAAACAGTTGGGACGTCGTGGTGAAGCGGATTCATCCGCATCAAGTGCATCCGTAACCTGGGAAGAGCCGTCTTTCAAATGGTCGCGCTTGTCCTCAATGACAGCTGCTGCCCTTCGCCTGTGGTAAAGGTATGTGATAGTCTCACAGGCAGCGAACACAAGCACCAGACCAATAAAGAGGAATAAAGCGCCAACCCACCAGGCATCTAAACCTAAGGAGGACGAAACAAAGGTAGGCATCAAAAGTTTCATTGGTAAAATGCAAGAAATAAGACAATAGAATAGTTGCTTATTAAAAGCAACACAAATCAGTCTCTAATTAAGCAGCTGGTTTCCAGTAACTATATTGATGATTAGAAAGCAGTAAAAGGGGCAAAAAACGGAAAACACATCTGCAATGGATGGATGAGTTGTCACATAAGGGCAGAATTTGCGTATGCATAAAGTGTGACAGGTGCACAATGTTTGGAAGGTGATACAGCGTCGTATGAAACGTTTGCTTACAACCAAAGAGTGAGAAGCCACTACAGACTATTGATGTGCTGTGTTTGATAGTGATAGATAGTCATGTAATCAGATATATCCCAAGTCCGTGAATTCAACCAGCCCAGTGAAGGGAAATATAACAGGCATAGCAATAAGGAACCACTTCCGTTCGAGAAAGTGCTGCTTTAAATGGAACTGGGTGCCTCAGGGAAGGAGGATAGTTTCCTCTGCAAGAACATGCAGTACATTGTGATCGGTAGGCAAAGGAGTAAGCCGTTCCGACGCTGTCTGTCTTCACATGATAACGAAGTGGTTATGACCGTACACTGAGTGCGCGTAAATGGAGTTATAGTTTCATGTAGGGTCATTCCTCTCCTTTCTATTAGTTCTCATTGACGGTGTCATCTCACAGTTTACATACGCATGGTGGTGTGCGGATTAGGACTGAGTTAATTGTACCCCAACAATACTGCGGGCGCTATGAAGAGCATAACAGATGTTTAGACTGCTAGTATCAACAAACTACCGACAAACAAATGGATCTCCAAAGCTAAAAGTCAGTAAATGACAAGGCAAAAGAACACGAAGATGCTCACCGAGCAGTTGTGTTGGGCTGGTGCGCATTGTCATCCTAGATGGAGTCCACAGTCTCGCATATACAACAAGTGGGCGTATATCACATCAGACGTGGAAGATCCAAGAAGTACCGTATATTACCGAATATAAGCCGAGGAATTTTTGACAATTTTTTGTTTCTGTAGAAGGGATCGCTTTACACAAAGGTTATACGCGATTTGAAAAATAGCAAATGCAAAATTCACCAAGGAATTCACTGCATATCTCTGCTCTAAGCTCCCATTAACACCACCCGCTAGTTACGGACGGTATTCCAGGCAGGGATTTTAAGCCCTATAACGGAACACGGTATTATTGTGTTGAAAATACTCGGTATATTGCGTGTCTGACGTTCGTGACGGATGGAATTAGTGAAACCAAAGCCATTGAACATTATGTTATGCCAGGGGATCCAGTGCGTTAAAAGTATCACGTCGGCCCACACTCCCGACCGTGGAGTCTGTTCTCACCAGCTGCTCCATGGTGATTCATATGCATGCGGCCCGTGACTCTCACGTTACCCCAAATTGTCGGCTGTTTTACTGTTTCATGTGAGTTGACGTCTGGTCAATATACTATCCGGTGCGGTGAAAGTCTGTTCTAACAGCCATATGCCCCATTAACCGCGAATATAACATTACGGCATCACAGCTGACTAATAATAGAGCAACTTTCACTGGAAGTCATTCAAGTGACAGCAAGTAGTGGGGACGTTGAAATTGTGAGGAGACAATTTTGTTTCTCTGTTGCTGCTTTTTTAAGGTCAGTTAACATAGAGACTTACGATTTTGGACAAATTGGATGTTGCAAAGTCATACTGTCGGCTTATCTATGGACGGGCTTATATTCGGTAATATCTGGTAGTTGGCGTTTTATAGTATTCACCAAATTCCAAACCGCTAAGATTTCTGTATGACAGTTAGTTCTTTTCCATTTCTCTTACCTTTATTATTATTATTATTATTATTATTATTATCATTATTATTATTTCTGTGGCGCAGTGACTCGATGCGCGGTTAACAAACTAAAAACGAATGGTGACAGGCTGTGACAATTCGACCTATAGACAGGTCGAGCACGATAGCCCATCGTGAAATAAGTAACTGCGACATTTTAAAGAGAAAATCAGGCGCTTTCCAATGAAAAGATAGCGTACACTAACAAACTAAACGTGACGCCTCTCTAGTGTGGAGAGAAGAGACAGTTATCAGTGCAAGGACGCAAGGAGCGCTGGAAAAATATCAGGGTGTTCGGTGTTCCTGAAGTCATCAGCCACCCATTCGAAGACAACGCAACAAGGCAGTCCAGTTCAGTCTTGCTTTTCAACTAAGCAGCGCGCACACGCAATTAAGAGGCTAGAGATCATAATACTAAGAAAACTACTAAGAGCGAACAACGAATAAAACCGCCAAAATTAAGACAGCGCCACCAACTCTGTGACTGCGCCATATCGGGCGAAGTATCTAATCATTGATAGGGTCTATTCCCATTCCGGAGGGCGGCAAGAACCAACAACAAATAAACTTTTGATGAGCTTTTCATGCTCACTTGCCATCTCCCTGGCTGGCCACCTCGAAGTTTCACCCGACTAGGTGCAGCATTGGAAACAATACATGCAGGGGCAATAGGGTTTGTAGGCATGCGGGACACGTGACCGAATCACCGAAGGGGATACGGGAGCAACAGAGACCCATGTGTTTTCAAGTCGGTACTTGCATAGCACTGCTTATAGGTGATGAGAGAACCGATAGAGTAATGCAGATATTTTTCGTCCGGTACTCGGATACTGACTAGTCTGCGTCATCCAGACGGCAAGCACCAATACGACTCCGTCCTTAGGTGAGTTTCTCCATGTACTGTTACCATTTAATTAACTGAGCATCTCAGGGTCTCGCTCATTTAGGCGGAGTACCGTCAAAAAACCAAACACCGACCCAACAGAGAGGATTCGAATTCAAGGGGAACGTAGCTGAAGCATTAGGAGCGCCACTGTCACATATTAGCAACACTGTAAGAGTATTAAAAATCGCACGAAACGATAGGTCAAGTTGAATAGGTAGAAGGAGGGACAGTTTCAATGCACTTACTTCGTATCGTGAAGTCTTTTAAGACCAAGGTGGGTTGTGTATAAAGAGAAGTGTAAGGGTAAAAGGAATTTAAATTCATTTCATTCTCCAACACAGCTACATCACGTACCGAAGATCTGAGGAGGAGGCTGTGGTACAGGAGGTTCCGGTGGTGCTACACAGGAGCTTTCACAGTCCAAACATGAGCATGCAGGTCCTCCAGTGTCGGAACCACGCCGAGGCACTGATTCGTTGCACGGATAGAATGTCTGGTTAAAGGGCTGCTTTCCACCGGTGTTGGACGTGGGATTGGCGGGGTCCGGTGTAATGACGAAATTGACCGGAAACGGACTTTGGGACCCAATACCGCGGAGAAGCTTCTCTGGAGTGCAGGAAGTCGATGCACAAATAGGGTCAATAGCGTGCGCACCGGCGAACTGAACGTCCTGTGGGCGATGGGTAATATACATCAGTAAGAGCAGAGCAGTAAACAACATTGGTGATGATTACGGTGGGAAAGTAAACTGTGAAAGCGACTTTTTGACCCTGCTCTGAAGTGAAATGGATCTGGTTAACAGGAATATTGTCGTCATGGTAATAACACCGGCGCTGCTTCTCCTACAACCAATATTGGTATTAGCAATAAACAACAACGATGAGGAGTCACAGAGCGCAAGTATACATAATCCAGATGAAAACCATTTAGTAAGAAAGATGCGCTCCAGACACATCACCATACAAGAGGGCCTTTGAATTCCGGATTGGGTCACATCAGTTGAGCTAACGAACCGTCGATGAGGTAAGTCGGGAGCAAGTTATTCCCCCATGTTCTCAAAAAACAATTAGCGAGCCACACCGAGGGACTTCCTGGTTAGCCGCAACAATGACAAAGGATAAATGTTCGGGTAAGCGACCACTAGGTGGTAACATGCGATAAGACCAGATACCGCTACGCAAGTTGTCACAATAGAATTGATAAAACAACCGGTGTAGGTAAAGAGTAACAGGTAAACTAAGCAAGGTACAATAATGGCAAAGAGAATGACCACTAACAAGTGGCAACATGGGGTCTGTAGCGTTTGGGATTGAGCCGTGCCAACCGATTCAGTGGGCTCCGTCTAGGAGTACGGTATGAATCAGGCAGTCCTACCTTTGATCAATTTCTTCACATCTTAGCGCTATGTCAGTAGTGGTCCACAGCGAAACGTCTTCCAGCTAGACATAGTACTAGTAAACAAAGCACAAACGGAAGTAGGCAGTCCACAGTTGTTTGAAAAATATGACACATCAAACGCCAACAGCTTAACGAGGTGGCCGGGGAGTGGGGTCAAGGAGACCGAAACGAGCTGGAGGACGTCAAGTTAGTTAAGGAGGCAAGTAAATTCATCGAAGCCTGATCCTCAGGTCAGGTCTCCATCAACAGGATAGAAACAGATTGTAAGGTGTTGTAAACTAAACTAATAAATTGCCTCAATTCAATGGATAGGCATAAGTAGTACGCCGGAACTGCATGATGATGTGGGGCACAGACCTCCAAGTTCCCATCACCCCCTAGTTGACTGAGCCAAGCCCCCCCCAAGAGGCCAGTCCATCGAGTTTCCCTACATAAGATTTATAGCGAACCAATGAGCTAAGCGTTAGCGGACATAATATAAGCAAGACCGTAGTCCGATTGTGTACTCTGTACTGTGTCTCTTGATATACGGTGATAAGTACAGTTTGGATTACTTTTGGACATTGTGAAGACCGGTTGTTTCGCAACCGAATGGGTATTGTTGAGGTATGTGCTTGCTGTATTTTGACTCGCATTTGAATAGTACCGTAGTCAACGTCTCAGCTTGCTTTCATCATTAGACGCAGGAGTGTTTACACGTCACTCGAGCCCCAAGCGAATTTGTCGTTTAAAGTGGATATATTCGTTCACATGCCATTTTGCAATCGCACTGGTCATTTGGATCTAAACAACTACTAGGCTATATCTTACAGTGTTGTGCACCCTTCGATTTGTAGCCAGGAAGATGCAACGAAGCTAAAGAAGAGGTCATCAAGTGGCAGATTGTTCACCAAATGATCTCTCCCAACATGACCAAACACGAGCCAGCAGGATGCGATGTGGCAAACGCTCGCATGACATACACCAAAGGTGACTTAGGCAGTTCAATTAGTTCGGCCAGCAGCGTTCACTGGAGAGAGGAAACATATTTCGTGGGACACTTTGCATAAGTTCAGCATTACGAATCCGGTGTTGCCGCCACATGTAACCAATCTACGCAAACCCTAATCATAAATGACCGAACAGAGGAGTTGTAAACGATGCCCGTAAACGACAGACGTTATGATGAGCCCATAACTGATGCGGGTTGGTAGACGACAATTGGGCTTTAACGGTACAGAGAGATGTCTTTGAAATAGCACCATCAGCAAAAACGCAGCTCCGTAGGTTGACGAGCCCATCCCGACGTATCTTCAAAGGTGCGCAGTGAAATAGATTGATGTCAGTCTTGTAACAGCACACCGCAATTAAATGCCTTAGCCGCCGAACAGTAAACAGTGAATCACACTTTAGGAAGGCATCGCCTGGTTAAGGTGTTAGCATAAGCGTTGTCTAAGGGAATTGAGTACAGAAGAGTAGTAGGGGGCGTTTAATGGTATAGGTAGAAATCCGTCACATCTAGATTCACGCAGGCAGTCATCGAACTCCCAGAATAGTACTGTACGGCCATTTCATCTTTTCGGGGATTGTTAGCAGTGCGCGTTCCATCGGACCCCTTGCAGGGCTTGAACCCGCAACTCGACTGTTACCAGTCTGTGGGTGAGATCACTGAGCTACGGGGGACGGCAACGACCATCGTGAATAAGTTACTAGATGTGATATAGCGCCGCTCACTATCCACTGACTTACACGTTACTGCCGTGCAGAGGACAGGGTAGTCCCCTCACCAAGCGATGAGCTTACCAAACTTAAGCCGCCAATGAACTTATGGCATTATAATCAGTTTGGTCTGCGTACTGATTAGAGAAGTGTAGTAGGGGGAGTTGAATGGTATAGGTAGAAATTCCTCACATCTAGACTCAATCAGACAGCCGCCACACGCCCGGAAAAGCACTGTGCGCGCGTTTCATCCTTTCGGGAATCATCAGCAGTGCGCATTCCATTGGACCCCTGGAAGGGCTCGAACCCGCAGCTCAACTGTTGCCAGTCCGTGGTTGAGACCACTGAGCTAAGGGGGACGGCAACGACCATCGTGAATAAGTTACTAGATGTGATATAGCGCCGTCCGAGTAACTGGATGTCACATAGCAAAAATGTATGAACCTTCCAGAACTGTCAACAAGACTTCCTTGGCTGCAAAATTGTAGGGGATTGAAGAGATGGAGAGCCTGGTGTAAGACCTCACATTTCCCAGAAGTGGACATATGGTGATCGAAGGATGGAAAACTGATTTGTTAAAAGCACGTGATCAGCTCTGGGAGTCTGGATGGATGGAAATACCCTTATGTAGGTCAACAACCAGATCGGAGCTGACATCGAAGGCATTGAAACGGAGTTTATTCAAACGAAGAAGCGAGCCAGCCTTAGTTACATCGAGAAACTCCTTCCTCTGGCCGCGAATATGCAATGAAATTAACAACCTATGAGCAGTTATGGTGAGGCATTTGACTCATAAGGAGGAAGCATATGTAGATCAAGAGAGGAATTAGGGCGGGGCAAAATACTGGAAAATTGCAAGTATATGTCGAATCGGACCGGAGGGATAGGTCCAAGCAAGCCGCGGCTCAGCGAATGGACGTTATCGTGAGGAAAATAATGATGGGACAGGAGACAGCTAATGACGGTGAACGGAGGCGAAGATCCATTTGGGTGTCACTCATCAATAATAGTGGTTACAAAAACTCACTTTACAGCTGTTGAAAAAGTTGTTTGCCACGGTACTGGTCACACTGTACACGATGGAGGAGACCACGGATTTGTCTATGTTCGGAGTAAGGAACTCTGACTGGTTCGGATCGCATGTCATGGCGCATAGAAGAAGACGGAAGTTGGCCCAGCACGCAGGACATCTGATGGGTCGGAAGAAATAGGTGCGCGAGAAGGTAGCTGAATTTTCGGGATAAATAAAGTGTACAATTGGGAGGAAAACCAATTCCGTTGATTTTCAGTTGTTTATCTATTGTGGTTTGGTAAATTCTGAAGTAACACTCGCCATTATTCATTTCGTGTTCAGCCCAAAATCACCATATGAATATAACCCCGGTTACTAAAGGGTAATAATATTAACAAGGAAATCTCAAATTGGCTAGAAGCCAGTTTGTTCGCGTAAATAAGTGATGGAAGTACGTGATTCAAGCTGGGGAGGTAATTGAAATACACCAACCAAGTTCACAGCCGCTTTGAAATGAAATGCCTGCATTGTACCAAAAAAGAAGACCTAATACAACCAAGTAACAAGGAAGAGAAACTGTGACTTGTGTAGCCTTTTCCAATGAGATGACGGAACTAACGTCATGGTTAGCAGCGTTGGATTCCAAGTAGGTCTGTCTGTGTTGCGGGCCTAACTGATACACGGCAACCTCAAGCACGCCACAAAACAGTACAACCCAGAAGGAGTAAAACAGAAGGTTGGTGGAGAAAAGCAATAATTATTAATGGGCAAGGTCGTAGTATACTTTGGGTTTGCGAATCTACGTGTACGTACGCTATGGTAATGCTTGGAGCAAACGGAATTCAACTTACACGCAACTGCTGGTGGTTTCCCTTTGGTTGGTCTTAGTTCGTTGCGAAACTGGGCATCATCTGCGTTATCAATCAAAAGAAATCTAAGTGGCAAAACAGGCGACGAAGGTGAAAATGGGTTAAACTTCGACGAACCTTTTTAAGAGGTCTTGAGCAGCCACTGCAGAAGCGGAGAAGAAGGCAATCTGCTCACCATCACAACACAGAGGAGGATTGTGGTTCTGCGCGTAATTTGGGCACAGTTTCTTCAAAGTGGTGTAAGCGGTCTCGTTGACGAGTGGTTTGGCGGTGCCATTATAAGCTGAATATTTGGCGCGACCTCGAGCAGGCTTTTCACCTATGCCATACCAAATGCAATTCGCGTGAGCGCCCAGAACTAGAAGTGCGAGGATCGTGATAACCTGCGCGATTAGAGGAAACGTAACGATTGAGCAAATTGAACCAAGAAAACCAAAAGGTTGAGCTAGGGATAATTGGTTGGCGGCATGCGGTTTCGGATTTGCCTGTCACTGTGGCAAGCCACAGGACGCCTGCGCCTACAAAGGGACCATGGATGGCTTGCGCTGCACCACCCACAGCTCCAACCACATACCCCATATCCAGTGTAAACCCGAAAGGATAAGACCGGGAGGCATGCGAATGGGAGCCACGTTTCATCAACGGAGCCGGCCCACACTCCTTCACAGGCAAACACAAGCACGCTGTATTTGGGGAATCAAGCGCACACAAGGCGGTGGCTGGACCGTAGTCCGCTCCACACTGACTGCATGGAACCACTCTTCGAGCCTAACACGGCCACAAGGACCGTGCACCCCGTCCCCTCCAGCAACGACCAACTGTCTCCTGGAGCCAGTATGGACGAGCTAGTGGGTAATAGACAGGTAGGCACCTTGTCAACATGCACATCAAGCGCAGCCACACCGGGGATATCAAAAAACAGCCAATCACTTGAGAGAGAAAGAAAAAGAGAAAAACTCGATTAATGCATAAGGAAACGGTGACATAAACCTTAATTTAATAGCATACGTAATAAGTTGCTTACAAACAAATCCTAGCTAAGTGCACGAGGTCAGGAAGTATAGTTCACGGTATGCCACGAACACAAAAATGTTATGGAAATCGAATACAATTGGCTGAAGCGATGTGTGCAAGTTAATGGAATAGAGTACAGGGAGATATTTATATGAGAAAGAAAAGCAGTAAGGTAAAAACTGTAAACCCACCACCTGAAATAAAGAGACTTAGCATGCAAGCACGCGGTTAGTAAATCGAATTCAGCGTGCCTACAAACGCTGCGCCGGCTCGTCGTAATTCTCTGCAGGACCCGTCGTCGCTTCTGTAGTGGCCCCAAATGACACAGCGCATGGCATGGCCCACTAGACATTTATATGAGATGGGAACGAGCATAAAACTGGCAGGGCAGAGAGTTAATACGCTTCCACATGAATGTTCTTCCCAAGGCATCCTTAAATGTTGAGGGTTTAATGACAGGACCCATATACCCAGGCTCGTGGCAGAAAGTATCACAAGCTTGCATTGTAGTCCGAGAACGCGGGTTTGAGCTTGCGTAGGGTACCGGGCGGCCCTCGCAGTATCCTTAGTCCACGAGCGACTGCTGGTGATTGCGTGGCAACGAAGCGTCGTACAGCATACTGCTGAGGTTACTTTTCTTTCGTTTTTGTTAAAAACACCCAAAGTGGCACATTTGTTAGACAGAAAAGCAAGATGTACACACTCACAGTGAAGCAAGGGTAGCGTACGCGTGAGGATACCAACGCATTTGTGATTCTTAGCCAAAATGGTCGCCGAAAACTTGCGCATTCGCGACCAGAGGAATGCTGACCGATACGACAGAACAAAGAGACCAGCGAATATTACTTCGGTGGAACATTGGCAAAAAATCGAAGTTGTCAGGTAAAAAAATACACGATGAAAAGGGAAAGCACACCAAGGAATAAGCGGATCCAGACAATGAATAAGGTGTTTGAAGTAGCATTGTGTAGAAGTATTATATTCGGCATTGCACTCTTTGAGACCCATTGCAAACCCCCTACGTGAAGCTCCACTAACCAAATTGGTCATGGAACAACACTGTGATGTTATACATCGTCCGTCCGTGGTAAGTCGATGCGGGAAAAAGCGCTAAATACAAAATTATCAATCGGTTCCCAAAAATGAAACCATTACGTACAGATCGCTTGGTGAATCGACAGCTAGCTGTAGGATAAAGAGCACTCCCACCAGCATCTCAGATCATATTAAACGAGGAATGGTAATGACGACATGAATATTAGAGATAAACCAGTGGGAGTGGAAACGAAAAATTCAATAGAATCCGATAGAGGAATATTGGTAGACCAGTTTAGAGTTAAAATAAGGGAGTATACTGACGATATCGCCGTCATCCGTGGCAGATCACAAAGGTGCCATGCGGCTCTGGACAGATTAGCACCGGCTGTCAACCGCTTCGGACTTTGTCTTGCACCCTTGAAGTGCAAAGCTTTCTTAAAAGATTGGTAGGGACCATCTCCTACGCTGATGCTTGGTGAGGATTATCCAGAAGTCGTTCAAAAATGCTACTACCTGGGCAGTTGCATCAGCGCCTGTGGAATCAAAGAGGAAGTCACAAACCGCATCGTAAAAGCTCAAGGCGTTTTTGCTAACCTTCGTCACCTATGACACCAGCGCAACATCACTCTCCCTGAACGGTAGAGTGGACAATGCAGTCGTACGTCCAATCCTGCTGTATGGTTGTGAAACCTGGCCCATTAGCTCGGTAGAGATAAAGAAGCTAGTTACGTTCGAACACCTGTGCCTTCGCAGTTTTGGGGGCACCGTTTGATCAACCAGTATGTTCGACGCCTTGTTTATGGTGTAGGAAGAAGAAGCGAACCGTTCAGCACCTTATTTCACAAAGCAGGCTCCGATGGATGGGCGACGTGTTTCTCATGGCAGCCCACCTGCTCCCGTGACGTGCGTTGTTTTCGCGCCGGGGGTGTTAATGGAAGAAGAGGTGGGGTGATCAGACGACAACTTGGTCGATAGCAATGAAAGCCCTTACTTCGACGTCGGCCTCGGTTGAAGCCTCTCGACTCCCTGATTGGGGTCCGAAAGACGAGGAATGCGTTTGGTTGGACACAATTATGGACAATGGTAGGAACCGACCTCATTGGCGTTTGTGTTGTAAGTTTTTTGTCCCTCCCCTTCCCGCTAAGCATCCCCCTACAACCATCATCATCTTTCCTAGCAGATTATAGATATTACACAAGATAATCTTTTTGCGGCCCAATACCGGAAAGTTGCTTTCCAGAACGTTGCCTGTCCGTTACTGGTAACTCAGTTGTGGTTTTTTCTTCTCTTGTTACGTATCGCGGCACAATAGCTGAAGTGTTTCCCACCTCTAGATAGCGTGTATAATGATGAAAACACGGAAGGCGACAAGGACCATCCTGTTTACGGACAGAGTTAAGGAGAGTCAGCGTCCAGGCCGAGAGCAGTGGCACAACAGTGGATCAATCTACAATTAGAGATCAAAATGCGAATCTATGTGGAGTCAACAGCAAGTCGGACCATGAACTTGAACCGTATGGTTTGTGTTAATTAATACAAATAAGCATATCCAATTTCGTTGTTTTAATGGTTTCCTAAACCTATTTCTTGCGCCATGCTCTCATACAACAGAATCAGAATCACAATCCGAATCTTGTCATTCTCACTTCCTGGCGGGTTGAACTGGTTGGGGTCAGCACAACTGATGCAGGCAGGTTATCCACACAGTCAGCGGAAACCACAACATATTTCTGATGACGGAAGGTAAACTTAATTGAGATGGCAATCACAGCAGAAGATCTGAAAACGATTTTGCTACAACAACAGCAGCAGTTCGAGGCCCCGCAGCTGCGTATAATCGAGACTTTCACATGAACACGGTCACTCCGACATACAGGCATCTTTTCGGAGCAAATGCAGACGCTCCTTCAGGTCCAGCAGTCAATGTTTGAGGAATCACAGCAGTGATTGACAGAGATGCTGACACGAAAGTTGAAAATGCAATCAGAATGTGAACTGGATCCGGAACTTCCATCAGAGCACATTGTAAGTGAATGTTACAAGTAGCGCAACTCGGAATTAGACACCCAAAAGGTTGAAAATTCAAATGCCAGGTGTGAACTCCAGACCCGCCACACATATAATGGAGGCCACAGTGTGAATCAATACGGGCCGAAGCAAAAGCTCCCCACTACGATCATTGCCGCATTCCGCAGGGCTCAAAGCGTACCAAGAGGCCCTTTGTCGCTAGACAGCGAAATTGCCTGCGAAGCGAAATGCAAGAGTCTGCAACTCTGTGCAGCTGTCCAGATACACCAATCAACAGCCCTCAAAAGAGTGGCCATTGAGCACCTGCTAGAGAGGTATACAACAGTTTTTTGGAAAGGCTTTGCAATACCAATGGTTGATCAGGAGCTTTATCGCTTAGAGAGAACAGTTCCCCACTCGATGAACCATTCAGTCTGGGACCCAGGAGGGACCTAATGTGCTTTGACCAGTGGCCACAAAAAAGTACGGACTTGCAGCCACGATGATGCGCTGATCTGGCCTGGAGACACGTCATCAGAATGCGCCTGGGCGCATGACGGAAGTCGCGCGTCATTTTCGCGAGGGAGGTGTTACGGAGAGCGGGCGCACAGGCCCAGAGCAGTGGCGCAACAGTGCATCGATCTACAGCTAGAGATCGAACGCGAGTACAGATCAAAATGCGAATCTATGTGGAATCAACGGCAAGTCGGATTATGAATTTGAACCGTTTGATTTGTGATAATTAGTATTAATTAGCATCTCCAAGTTTGTTGTGGTAGGGGTTTCCTAAACCTATTTATTGCGCCATGCTCTTATACAAGAGAATCAGAATCGGAACCCTCGGTGCGGCTGGTCTTGGTGTTTTCACTTCGTGACGGGTTGAACTGATTGGAGGCGGCACACCTGATTCAGGCGGGTTATCCGTACACTCAGCGGGAACCCACAACAGACAGCTGCGCGATAGCAGCAGGTTAGCCGTACTGTCAGTGGCACCACTACATATTTCTGGGGGCATCACAACATCCCACCTCCAGCTAAAGTGTATAAGGATGAAAAAAAGGAACGCGACAACAACGTCCATCCTATTTAGGTGTAGACCTGGATTTGCGTTGAACACGTGCATTCCAACTCCAATGACAATGAAATGCAAAGAGGTCAAGTTGGGAATACACGGCTTATGTACAATATCTGCTTATAAAAAGCCACCACTAATCTCTGTCGCTCCCTTGCTTATAAAATGTGTCAACCACCTCTTCCTGGGTGCTAACAAACAAGTGAGGGTCACCGGACTCATCAGCCATACTAGCAAGTAAATCGAGCGTTC